GATGGAACGCAGGTCACTCTCTAAAGTGCATCCAGGTTGTACTCTATCGAGAGTACACGAAATTCAGGGGCGCAATTCAATGCCTCCAGCCCCTCTATGCGCACCTCGCTGCCATCGAGTAGAGAGAGGGGAGGGTGGGAGGAAAAGGGGATGGGGGGAAGAGAGGGAGGAGAGGGAGATGTGGGACGGGAGATGGGAGATGGGAGGGAGGTCAGAATGGGAGGGGATGAGACAGACGCTGAGGCGACCCAACAATGGAGTCCCCTTGGTCCGTCGCTCTCTTGAGCGCATCCAGAATGTCGAAACAATCGAACCTGATATCCGAGGCACAGAAGCGCGTGTGCTGGGAGCAGTCACGCCTCACACGTCCGAGACACAGCCTTCACCCACCTGATGTGTGAGACGTGGAAGTATGTGTGCAGGGCGCACACACACACACCAACAACCACCCATCTGACATCTGAAATACGGTCTCCACCCACCTGATGTCTGAGACACGGAAGTATGTGTGCAGCGCGCAGGTAAAGGAGAGCGCCTTGCTGTCTGTGTTGAGGACACGCATGGACGACAGCAGCTCGCCCCCTCTTCCCAACGCCACCTTCATGCGCAGCTCAAAGCTGCATTGGGAGTAGGGGGAGAAGATGAAGAAGCGGGGAACACTAAGAGGGGTGAAATAGAGTGACCTGTCTTTCGCTGGTGAACGCAAGAGAAGAGCTACAACCAGCAACCACTTTTGAGAATTCTCAAAACTACCACCACCCGCTGGTGACCTATGCGGCCAGAGGAGCAGGTCTTCAGGCGAGGGGGTGAGGTTTGGGTCAGGGGAGGGGAGCAGGCTGCAGATTTTGAGACGACTCCAGACCCAACTTTTATCACGTGAGGTTAAGGCCAGGGGAGCAGGCTGCAGATTTTGAGACGACTCCAAACCCAACTTTTATCACGTGAGGTTAAGGCCAGGGGAGGGGAGCAGGCTGCGAATTTCCTGCACGCCACCACCTCTCCCGGGTAAATTTTCTCTGGCCGCATAGGTGAGGGGTGCTAGAGTAACCTTCAACTGCCCTCAGAGTGAGCGGCCAGAGGCGCAGGGGGTGAGGCTAGGGTCAGGGGAGCAAGCTGCGATTTTTTTTTCCACACCACCTCCTCTCCCTGCAGGCCAAAGCCATCAAGCACCCTCACCATGCGCCTCTGGCCGCATGAATGGGTGCTAGACGAACCTTCAACTGCCCTGCCCTCAAAAGTGCGGCCAGATGCGCAGGTCTTCAGGGAAGGGCGTGAGGAGAAGGTCAAGGGAGGGAAGGGAGCTGCAGATTACATACATACCACCCTGGCCGGCATGTGACAACATTCAGCTGGCCCTACTTGATACAACCAGCAGCCACCCCCATTCACCTGTGCGGCCAAATGCGCAGGTCTTCAGGGGAGGGCGTGAGGAGAAGGTCAAGAGAGGCAGGGTCCGTGTTGGGAGATGCGGGATCCAACGACCAGGATCTATTCCTGGCGTAGCCGTGCTGATCCAACGGTCCCATGGGACCGAACTGCAACAGAGTGAGGGGAGCGGGGAGTTGCAGTGAGACGAGGACGAAGGAGGGAAGGGGGGAGGGAGGTGGGAATATGGGCAGGGGGGAGGAGGGAGAGAGTGTGTTCGAGGGGTAAATGGAAGGAAGTCGCCGGAAAGTCTTGGCCTGATTGAACTCACAGGAAAAAACAGCATGTGAAGAAGCAAAGGCAAAAGGAATTGGGGGCATGAGCTGCTGAGCTGCTGAGCTGGCAAGTTGGTCACTGATGAGGTGATGAGCTGCTGAGCTGGCGAGATGGTGAGCTGGCGAGCTGTTAAGCTGATAACCTGGTACGCTGGGGTAGGCGTACCTGAGGGAAACACACAGGGATGCCGCCCCGGATTGCCTTGGGTGGCTTGAAAATGGCCTGCATGCACACATGGCAGGGAATGTGCATGTTAGGGCATGAATGTAATGCGCATGGGAGTGCGTATCTGGGTGTGCAAGAGGGAGTGAGGAAGAGACACGTGAGAGGGAGGTGGGAGGGGGCCTGGAAAGAGCCCAATTCGCATAGCATGTATGAAATATTGAAACAAACAAACTAAACCAGTGACAACACCCAAATCAGCCGGTATCAGTCTCATCAACTAACTGCACTTTAAAATGGCTGTATCAGTCTCAGCCGGTATTTTACTACTCATAAAATGGCAAAAACTCTCTCTAGTTTCCAAGTGTCTCAAAAGGCTCTCTAGTTCTCAGATTTCTCAACAAGCTCTCTTGTTTATTAATGTCTGACCTTGCTGCTCATGAAGAGGTTCTCCTCCTTGCCGTCGTGCTTCCACGAGGTGACGTGTCCGCCGTGGAAGAACACCTGCGGTGACAGGGTTACCACACGGATTGGTATATACAAATTTCGCGGACCAAATGAATCACTGATTTTGCCCGAACATCAAGAGGCTTGTTAGAATGGCAAAAACGGCGTAAGGAACGGACGGGGCAAGACTGGTAACCCTGAAACGAGGGCTGGTAAGACTGGTAACCCTGAAACGAGGGCTGGTAAGACTGGTAACCCTGAAACGAGGGCTGGTAAGACTGGTAACTTGAAAAGTCAGCAAAAACACTCTCAAGCCAAGCTAAATCCTCTCAGATTCCAGGTACGTCGTCAAAGGACTCGACTGCGGCGGAAGAAACACCCGCCTCAGAATCCCAGGTACATAAATTCCACGGAATCCGTGACACCAATCTTGCTGAAGCCAAGTTCGAAAACAGCGATGCATACTTCCGTTCGCTGCGCCTTTCTTTTTCTCTTCATAATAAGCTAACCCTTTGAGGCAGCAGAACTATGAAGCTACGCTGAATCCGCCAGAATGCCCTGCACACTGTCACGGAACGCGATTGTCATTGCGGCACTGCGCTATAGTCTTACCTCCGCGGTCGCGCCGCCAGCCTGTCGGAGAACCACCTTCTCCAGTCCCGATGCCTCGTCCTTGCACTGACCCGGATGGGCCATGGCCGCCCCAAACAACCTTTTCTCAACTAGTGCTACGGAATTCGGTTTTTTTTCGCGCCTGAGAAAGCGTCTGCTAGTGGCTCCGCCTTCTGAGGAGCCACACAAATCGGCTGCTTCTGTTGTTTTTTTCCTGATGTCCGGCGCTTACGCGCCCCCAGTGGATCTGACCGCCGCGTTTCCAATCTGCGGCAAGTTTGATAGAAACGAATAACTTCCCCTTTCTCGTGCTTATGCCTTTGTAATCGCACTTTTGCCGTTGCTGATGGATCTGCACCGCAACGGACTCGATTCGCGGCGATGAGACACACAGGAAGGGGATATATACTGGGATTGCTGGGCTGCGTGATAAACGGGAGCTAAAAAAAAGAGAATCTCAAGGAGTTCCCGAGATTGGACCCGTGCAGGCTCACGAGAAAGCGACACGCTGATGCTACTCGTGACTGAATCGAAAAGGAACGTAACGACGGTGGAAACAGGAACCAGGAATCTGGCTGGATGTAGGAATCTGGCTGGATGCGAAAGCCAGTGAAATCCTACACTAGATGAGCAATCAAGCTGAAATCACGGTAAGTGAAATCCAGGTGGTGTTCAGACGGAACATCTCGTGATTTTGGTCTCGGCAGTTTTCGTTGCAGCTAGCGAAGAAAAAAATCTCGCCCACAGGACATTCGCTCAAAAGTGTAACACGAATCAAACTGTGATTGTAGCTAAATGAACTCCTAGAACACCAGTGCCCATCAAGCCCTAGTTTCGGCTTTCCTTTCCGCTCCATCCTCCACCCCTCCGCTCCGTCTCCGCCCGCAACTCGGCTCTCGCTTCAGAGGATCGTTTAGTAGACTAAGCCAGCTGCAGCGCGTAGAGATCGGCTCCTCCCGTCGCCGTAGAATCCGCTTCGTCGAGCCCACGATCCAAAAATAAAGGGGAAACGGAAAAGAATCAGCATAGCAGCATCGCCTGTCTGTCATAAAGTCCGTTGCCATAAGCTGACGCTGTTGATCGCAGCGACAACATAAGCCGACATGTCGGCGAGAAAAGCTGTAAGTTCTTAGTCAAGACAAGTCAGTCGATTCGGTGAAGGCAAGTCAGTCATTTCAGTCATGGCAATAGGCAAGGGGCCGAGCCAAGCCAGATCTTAACTAGAACGAGCTTCGCTGTCTTTCAGATCGCTATTTTGTTACCATAGTAACAGTTCAGAAGTCGTCTGCTGCAGCGCAGTGTCCGCGAAGCTCTGCGTGATCGCAAACGCTATGGAGGGCAAATGCAAGCTGCTTCGTCAGCTGTCTTGGGAGAAATCGTCTTGGATCCCGATTAGATCGTCTCGATTTGTTCCGTTCGATTTCCGCTGGTTGATTCCACCCGCTTGTTTTGGAACGTTTTTTTTTTTTCTTCCTTTGCTCTGCTCGGCTCGTCTAATTTCACCCGCCTCCGTGCTGCTCTCTCCTCTGGTCTGCTCTCTTCTCCTCTGCTCCGCTCCGCTCTCTTTGCCGGTTGAGATGTTGACGTATCAAAAGCTGAGCGCTTGGAGGCTGCTAGCGCCGCCTCACCCCGTTGGATTTGCCGTTCCTTCCGTTACTCCGGCTGCTCCTGCTGCTCCTGCGGCTGCCGTGTCCGCGTGTCATACTGCAGCGGGCTACTCGTTCTTTCCCTGTGATGCTTCTGCTACAACCACCCCCACCACCACCGCTACCCGTGCCACTTCCACCACCACTTCCACCACTCCTAGCACTGTTACCACTCCCACCACTGCGACCAGCACCATTGCTGGTTCCACTTTTCTTTGCCTGCATCGCCGCTTCTCCCTTCACCATCAACAATCCCAACACTTAACTAAGCAGCTACACCAACACCACTCTCACCAGCAGCGCTCCTTGCACTACCAACACGTGCTGCCACCTCAGCATCACCACGTGCCACATCACCAGCTGCCACATCAACTCCAGCAGCGGCGGTCCATGTTCATCCAGACTCTCACCACCCCCAACCCAGCTTCCCTCATGTTCCTCCCCGGTCGCCCCATCCTCTCCTCCTCTCCTCCCTCCTCCTCCTCCACCTCCTCTCCCTCCTCTTCCTCCTCTTCCTCCCCGTCGTCGGAGGATCAACCGTCGTCTCAGTCATCGATCGAGTTTTCTTCTGCCCGAGCTGCCCTAGCATCTCCACTTGCAATTGCATTGTTCCGCATTGATGGTAAGCGATTATTGTTTTGCCCAACCGCGCTCAAATTTCCGCCTGACCTGCCACTGCCTGCCACTGCCCCCTGCCACTGGTGCTTGTCTGCCGTTCCACCACTCCTGTCCACAGGTGATATACCTGCGAGTCAACTCAAAATATTCCAGCATCACATCACCATCTCTCCACCATCCCTCCACGACCCCTCCACACCATCCCTTTATCACAGGTGTAGCTCGAGTATTCCTGGGGGGTGACTTTGTGACTGTCTGTGACCAATCCCAAGGTCCCGCTTCTGTCACTGCTAACCAGCATTGCATCACCATCCCTCCTCCACCCACCATCCCTCCACCATCCACCATCCCTCCACTGCTCTTGTCCACAGGTGTAGCTCGAGTGTTCCTGGGAGGTGACTTTGTGACTGTGACTAAAACGGAGGAGAGCTCCTGGGATCTCCTCAAGCCGGAAATTTTCGCTGCCCTGATGGAATTTTTTGCCTCTGGGCAGCCGGTGCTGAACCCCCAAGCAGAGGCGGCAGCAGCTAGTGGGGAGCAACAACCAGCAGAGGTGCGGTGGGGGGAAATTACTGGGAATAGAGAGGTGAATTGGAGTGGTGAGTTGCGGTAGAGGTGGGTTTTGAGACGTCTCAATACCCGGCACAGGCGGCAGCAGCTGGCGGGGAGAAACAACCAGCAGAGGTGGGGTTGGGAATCATGGGAGTGGAGAGAGGTGAGCTGCGATCTCAGTTGTGGAAGACGCCAGGACCGTCCTGCGTCTAGCGTCTAGATGCAGCGTCTTCCGCAACTAAGGCTGCGATGCAGTTGGGGGGTGGGGAATTGCGGCAGTAGAGAGGTGTGGTGGAGAGGTGAGGTGCTGAACCCAAGCAGAGGCGGCCGCAGCTGGCGGGGAGCAACAATCGGCAGAGATGGGGTGGGGGGATGATGCGTTGGGGGGAGTGATGGGGTGGGGGGGATGATGCGTTGGGGGGAGTGATGGGGTGGGGGGGATGATGCGTTGGGGGGAGTGATGGGGTGGGGGGGATGATGCGTTGGGGGGAGTGATGGGGTGGGGGGAGTGTTGGGGTGGGGGGGAGTGATGGGGTGGGGGGAGTGTTGGGGTGGGGGGGAGTGATGGGGTGGGGGGAGTGAGGGGGGATGGGGGAATGAGGGAGGGGCGGAGGTGGGGTGGGGGGAATGGCTTATCAGTCGAGGCGCAGTGGTGATAAATGGTGTGTTGAGGTTGGGTGCGATGGCAGTGGATGGGAGTAGAAGGGGGTAGTGAGATGAGATGGTGCTGATGATACATGATCATAGATGAAAGTATGATCTTTCAAATACTTGATCATGTTTTGAGTCGACTCAAAACAAGATGAGACAGTACTGATGATACATGAGAGTGAGAGGGTACTGATGATACATGAGAGTGAGACGGTGCTGATGATACATGAGAGTGAGAGGGTACTGATGATACATGAGAGTGAGACGGTGCTGATGATAAGGGAGCTGCTAGAGGCTGCTGGTAAACCAGCGCATTCCCACCGTCTCACCCCCTGTCCTTTCCCCCCTTCCCTCTTCCCCTGTTCCCCCTCCCCCCTTTGCCACCCACATCAGGACGAGAGTGAGACGGTGCTGATGATAAGGGAGCTGCTGGAGACGCGCATTCGGCCGGCAGTGCTGGAGGACGGAGGGGATATTGACTTTGTTGACTTTGACGAGTGAGTTTGACTTGGGTTGACTTTGTTGACCTTTGAGACGCCTGAAAAGGAGTGCATGCGACCAGCAGTGCTGGAGGACGGAGGGGACATTGACTTTGTTGACTTTGACGAGTGAGCTCTTCACGTCACCCTCTTGCCATGTCACTCTCTTGCCATGTCACTCTCTTGCCATGTCACTCTCTTGCCATGTCACTCTCTTGCCATGTCACTCTCTTGCCATGTCACTCTCTTGCCATGTCACTCTCTTGCCATGTCACTCTCTTGCCATGTCACTCTCTTGCCATGTCACTCTCTTGCCATGTCACTCTCTTGCCACGTCACTCTCTTGCCACATCATCGCCTTGCCACGTCGCCCTCTTAGCACATCGCCCTCTTGCAGTGCCTGTCCACACACATACTCCAAGCTTTACCATCTTTAAACCTCAAACCTATGTCTCCCACTTATCAACCACTAGTGCCGCATTGATTGTGTATTCGTGCATCAAGGGTTCTTGCAGTGCCTACCCAAGCGTAGTTTTTATGCGTTAACCAAGCATGATTTTTTAGTGGACTCAAAAACTTACCCAAGCGTAGTTTTTATGCGTTAACCAAGCATCATTTTTGAGTCGACTCAAAAACCTACCCAAGCGTAGTTTTTTTGCGTTAACCAAGCATGATTCCACGTCCATGTCACCTTGCTTACCACCCACCCCCCCGGGCCACGGGAATCGTGTATCTGCGCATGAAAGGCGCCCGCCTGCAGTGGCTGCCCGAGCGATGGCGCCCTTCTCAATCCAACTCTGATTGTTGTGCCCTCCCTCCCCTCACTGCCCCCCCCCCCCCCCCCCCCCCCCCCCCAGGGCCACGGAGATGGTGTATCTGCGCGTGAAGGGCGCCTGCAGTGGCTGCCCAAGTCATGGCGCCCTTCTCAATCCAACTGGGATTGTTGCACCCTTTCCCCCCTCACTGCCACCCACCCCCCAGGGCCACATGGATCGTGTGTCCGCGTGTGAAAGGCGCTTGCAGTGGCTTCCCCTACCCTGCCCCTCACATCCTGTTGTGTGCTATGCTCTCCCCTCACCTGGCTTACCACCCACCCCCCAGGGCGACGGGGATTGTGTATCTGCGCATGAAGGGCGCCTGCAGTGGGTGCCCAGGCGTACATTATTTACCCTATCACCCATGATTATTATTCACCTGTGTATCAACCCCCCAGGGCCACGGGTATTGTGTATCTGCGCATGAAGGGCGCCTGCAGTGGCTGCCCGAGCTCCTCTGTGACTCTAAAGAGCGGGGTCGAAAACATGCTCACACACTACATCCCAGAGGTGAGTAGAACGGATGTGATTATAGTGAATGGCTTGCACTGGCTGCAGGAGCTCCTCTTTGACTCTAAAGAGCGGAGTGGAGAACATGCTCTCACACTGTATCCCAGAGGTGAGTAGAACGGATGTGATTGTAACGAATCTTGACAGACCATGTCCCCTCCCCTTGTCTGCCCATGTCTGCCCATGTTTGCCCATGTCTGCTCGTGTCCACCCCATGTCTGCCCCATGTCTGCCCTATGTCTGCTCGTGCCCACCCCATGTCTGCCCCATATCTGCCCCATATCTACCCCACGTCTGCCTCATGTCTGCTTGTGTCCGTCACATGTCCGCCCCATGTCTGCCTGTCTCTCCGGATGCAGGTTAATTCAGTGAAGGAGGTTATGGAAGAGGCAGACTGAGTGTACCCAGTGCCCGTACTCGTTAGGAGACATCTCAAGTCAATCAAGACGATCTGGATGCAGGTTAATTCGTCAGGAGGGCGGTGGAGCAGGCAGCTTTTGAGACGTCTCAACTGTACCCAGTGCCTGTACTCGTTTGGAGATATCTCAAGACAATCAAGACAATCAAGACAATCTGGATGCAGTACGATCACTCCACCTGCTCGCTCTTACATTCGTCAGGAGGGCGGTGGAGCAGGCAGAGTGAGAGTCGCTAGCACCGCTAGCCGCTCGCTCTTTTGAGGCACCTGACGCCAGATGTTGTTTCGGGGATTTGTCTTACATTTTATGCAAGATGCTCGCTCTTTTGGTGTGCTGTGTGTCCGGCCATTCTTGTTCGTTGGAGGGGGTTACCCAGAATGACTACTGCTTGTCCTGATTCGGACAGGCAGTGACAAGTGAGACTTGCAGTGCAGCTTGCTACCGTACTTAGCTTCACACATTGCTTGGCTGGCACGAATTAGCATGGCTTTAATAGAGAAAACCACAAGAAGCCAATTCACTTCCCGGTACCATATACGGTAAGCATGTGTGAAGCAGATTCACGGCACAACTGAAATACAGTTGGGTTTGAAAGACATAAAGTTGTGCAAGCAGAATGGGGTATGACTAGCAGATGGGTACATGGGGTGTGTGCAAACCTAATGTATCGTACCCTATACAATTCGACTTTCTGAATCTAACACTCATATCGGTATAATTTTAGTCTGATACTTGGAACCTTACCCTTCGGCAATAGACCATCCAAGTCGCCAGGTTGCCTCGCCAGGTAGCTGGGCCGAGGGAGGGCACTGCTGGATAGCTTGCAGCGTGCGATTGGCACCTTTGTTGTGTGCTCTCTGCTCTGCTCTGTTCTTCTCACTGATGGTGACACCATTCGGCAGCAGTGCACCTGCCCCATTACCACCTTCAAATGTGGCGATCAAGGGGGGAAGGGAGACGCATCATCCGTCGTGCAGTCGCCCCGACCATCGATGGTCTTTCCAGCTACTTCCAGTGAATACCGTGCCGCACCTGATGGAGGTGCCGTTATCCATCACCCCAACTTGGCCAGACTGTAGCGCATAGAATGCAGCGCACGAGAGCCACGTGAGCCACGAGAGCCTTTTTGCTAAACGACAGGCGGCGGCGAACAGCTGCGAAGCCGCATGAAATGAGGGTGTTTTTGAGACGTCTTAAAGCTGTGTTACACCTGACGGAGGTGCCGATATCCACACGTGCCGTTGTCGACCACCCCAATGTAGCGCACGTGAACGATTTTGTTGAATGACACGCGGCGGCGAACAGCTGTGAAGCCGCAGCTTCCTCGCGATCTGGGGCTGCCAGCCAAGCAGCTGAAGAGGCGATTCTCCCCGTCGCCAAGCGAGGATCGCCGCCACAAAACAACAGCTTCGAAAGAGCTGCTCCGATGGTTGGAAAGACTCCGTGTCCGGAGGCTGCACGCGCATGTGCGGCGATGAACGCCAGTGTATTCGGAAAAGCAAAGGCAACGCGGGGCTTGCACGCTGTCTGACCCCGAACCCGACCCCCCATGGCCGTTTGAACGAGCCTTTTGTTCATACGAGCCCGAACTGTCCGAAGCAACCCGGGGCTGTGATGCTGTGGGTGCGCAGGTGCCGCCGCCGGCGGCGCTTTGCGGCGAATGGATGGGATACGCCTTTTCGCTGATCTCCTCCACTCTTGTGGTAACATGGTAACCCCGCGACAAGGCCTGAAGCTTGCTGCTGCAAGAACTCGCCAATGTCGGCAATCTCGCGCTGTTGCTGCTGCTACTACTTCCAGGGACGAGGACGGGAGAACAGACGGCAACAGGACGCTCTGAATCAGAAAACGACCTCCTCGCCTCGCGCCTTGCCCTGTTCGCCGCCCAGAACCACCTCGATTCAGACGAATCATCGCGGCCGGCGCGCGGCAGAGACTCGTTCGATGGGCTCTCCGGCCGGCACGAGTCGTCTTCGATCCACACGCGATCCATTTCCGCTGATGCGACGGCTAGATGCGACACGAGCGCCGCGCTCGGGCTGCGAACCACGGAAACGGCCGCTGGACGCCATTCGCGCGAGACGAGCCGCCCTTGGTTACAAATGTCGCCACTGGTGGACCTGGGAGTGCACTCCCAACACTCACGTGGAGGAACGGCGCTGGGGGGGGAGCGAAGCGGGGGGGAGACCATTATCTAGGTTACAAGCCAGCCGAAGATACTCAACGCGTGTGTGTGGCGACTGATGAGACTGGCCTTTTGGACGACGATGGGACGACGATGATGGGACGACGATGAGAAATAAAATCGCGGCGCTGATGAGACTGGCTTTTTGGAACGACTGTCGATCGTATCTTCATCCATTTCCTGCGAAATAATATACACGTCTCTCGTACCGTCCCGTCGCGTCGCGTCCGCCAGGAGAGATCCCAGAGTCATGTGCCGCGCTAGCGGCCGGCCATCGTGCAGTGAGGGTGGGGAAGGTAAGCTGCCACCAATATTCACTAGGGTGGAGGTGGGTGGCAGCTCCTTGGTTGGTTGGCTTGTTGAGCGTGTCGGAAGAATACGTCCGAATGCGGCTGAAAAGGGTTTGGATTTGATCCAGAGCGGTTTTAAAAAACAACAAGATGGTTAGGTAGGGTTTCTGCGAATCGCGCGCTTCGTCACGCCAAGCGCAATGCAAGGGCATCACGTGCCTCATTGAAAAAGGGGTGTTTCGTGTGGTTCTGGAATCGGAATGGAAGAAAATGATTGACCTGGTTTTAAGGGTTTTAGTACGGTAGAGACGGATACCCTCTCACCGGAACCCCCATCTGGCATGGCACGGTTGGCACCCCATACCCCCCCGCCAGCCTCCCCCCCTCACCTGCCCGCAGAGGTCGGAAACGACAAAATGATCGTTGTGTTGTCCACATTCACAAGAAAAACAATGACGATCGCGTTCATGGAGTCTCTCATTTCTAGGTTACGGATGGACTTCCTTTCAGCTTAATTCGAATCTATATAAGAGTTATCTTATCTGACAAGCAGCAGAACATCAATCTGCTCTGGATCGACAGTGCGTGCTCGAGTGCTTGGTGGGTGAACTACTGGCTCTCTTCAGGTGGGGGGGTTGCGTCTTGGCACTTCAGGAGTGACAAACAAGCTATGCCTGTGGCCCTTTCACACAAAGACATCTGTACTGTACAGATAAAATAAAATAAAATAATGATTGCTCTGTACACAAGCTTTGAGATGTCTCCAAAAAACAGATCAAACAGAGCTAAACTGCTATGCTTCACATGGTTTTCCCAGACAGCACAATTATAACAGAAAATCATATCGTAATCCATTACATAACAAACTTGAGGCAGCGGGTTTCGTTGTGTAGTCTTTGGCAGCTGATGCAGCAGAAGCGGGCGGCACAGCGGGGGCATGTGTAGGGCGCGTGCGCACCACACGCGGAGCAGAATCGCCGCACTGAGGTGGCTGTTGGGGGCCCCACTGCTGCTGTGAGGTAGGAGGGCGTGCCTGGTGGCAGGGCTTCTAGACTCGCCTGCAGAGAGGGAGGATGGGATAAAGGAAGCAAGGGACAAGCATGGTAGGGTTGAGCACAGGGGTACACACACATGATTCACACAGGCTGTGGGTGGACCCACTGCTGCTTTGAGGTAGGAGGGGGTGCCTGCTGGCAGGGCTTATAGACTCGCCTGTGGGGACAAGAGAACGGGGTATGGAAGGGAAGCGGTATACAAAGGATAATGGCCCCTTTGTTTGAGGCGCGTAAAAAATAAGTATACAAGGGATAATGGCCCTGTTGCTGCTTTGAAGTACGATGGGTTGGTTCCCCGGTGGCAGGGCTTCTATTTCGCCAGTGGGTTACGGAGGAAGAGGTATGGAAGAGAAGACGAGGTATGGAAGAGAAGACGAGGTATGGAAGAGAAGACGAGGCATGGAAGAGAAGACGAGGTATGGAAGAGAAGACGAGGTATGGAAGAGAAGACGAGGTATGGAAGAGAAGACGAGGTATGGAAGAGAAGACGAGGCATGGAAAGCGGTGAACTTGGTAGGGGCTCGCTTGGGGTATGGAAGGGGTGAGTTTCCAGGTGCCTCAAGAATCACCTCAATGAAGGGGAGAGTTTCCAGGTGCCTCAAGAATCACCTCAATGAAGGGGAGAGTTTCCAGGTGCCTCAAGAATCACCTCAATGAAGGGGAGAGCAAGTGACCTCACCCTGTGCCTTACCTGCCCCATCTCTTATCCGGCCCATCCTCTGCCTTCCCCATGTCTTACCCGGCCTTACCCACCCCATGACTTGCCTCCCCTAGCAGCTCTGCAAAGGTCTTGGGAGTTGGCTTGCTCGCTCGGCTCACCATGGCTGCGCTGTCAGGTACAAAGCTCCCATCCACTTCCTACCCAACCCATGTCTTACCCGGCCTTACCCGCCGCACGACTTGCCTCCTCTAACAGCTCTGCAAAGGTCTTGGGAGTTCCCTTGCTCACTCGGCTCACCACCGCTGCAGCGGCCTGCCTTGTTCGCCTCTTGCCTTGCCCACACCATGCACGCTTCCTACACACCCTGTGCACCACGTCTTACCTCCTCTAACAGCTCTGCAAACGTCTTGGGAGTTCGCTTGCTCGCTCGGCTCACCACCGCTGCAGCAGCCTGCCTCGTCCGCCTCTTGCCCGGCCGGCTCACTCGCTTGGCCGGTGCAAAACCTGGTGGGCAGTCGGGGAAAGATGGGAAGTGGAGAGAGAGATAGAGAGATAGCGAGATAGAGAGAGCAAGGGAGCGAGTAAGAGGAAGGAACCACACAGGAATGGAAAGGAGAGCCTGCCTCGTGAAAACACTTTTGAGAATTCTCAAAAGTGATTTCAATATAGGCTCGTGCACCTCTTGCCTGGGCGGCTCACTGGCCTGGCCAGTGAGAAGTCTGGTGGCAAGCGAGGGAAGACGGGAAGAGGAGAGTGATATGCAGAAACGGTATTTATATATGTATACATATATGTAGGTGCATACTCGCTACAAGCATACCTTCTGGCACCAGCTGTCCCATCCAATACTCGCTACAAGCATACGTTCTTGCACCAGCTGTCCCATACTCACTACAAGCATACTTTCTTGCACTAACTGATTCATACTTGATATACCATACCTAGCACCAGCTGGCCCAACTCGCTATAAGCATACATTCTTGCACCAGCTGTTCCATACTCGCTACAAGCATACCTTCTCGCACCTTCTTTCAAAACTCGTTACAAAGATACCTTCTTACACCATATTTCCATACTCGCTATAAGCATACCTTCTTGCACCAACTCCTCCTCCGCATTAAACACATCATCGTCATCATCCACAGCAGCATCCACCCCGGTATAGTCACTCTCTAGAGCCTCTAATCGCGCCGCCGCTGCCTGGGTGGGTGCATGAAATGAAGGCCAGAGAGAGAAAGACCACAGGGGAGGCACGACAGGTGCTTGCATCAGTTGCAAGGGAAAGTGGGAGAGAGGTCAGGGGAAGAAGGAGGAACTAGCTAGGAACCCCAGTAGCGTGGTTCATCCACAGCAGCATTGACTTTTGAGTCGACTCAAAAGTCACCCAGTAGCGCGGTTCATCCACAGCAGCATCCACCCCGGTACAGTCACTCTCTAAAGCTTCCAATCGTGCTGCTGCTGCCTGGGTGCATCAAGGGCAGCAACGAGGGGCAGCAACGAGGGGCAGCAACGAGGGGCCGCAACGAGGGGCAGCAACGAGGGGCCGCAACGAGGGGCCGCAACGAGGGGCCGCAACGAGGGGCCACAGGGGAGTGCGAGTGCGAGTGTGAGTGTGAGAGAAGGAGAGGAGTGGGATGGAAAGACGCAATGCAATTCGCAACAAGTTCCTAAGCACTTTTTTTGCTTCCGTGGTGCCAGAAACCACGAAACTTGAGATCTGTGAACTCTCAGGTTTTTGAGACGTCCCAAAAGTCAGGTTCACAGATCTCAAGAATCACTTAAAACTTGTACCCACTCACTCACCCATTTCCGTGTGCCTTCATCCAGTATCACTGCCACCACATCTTCCGCCACCTTGCCTTGCCTTGCGTTGGCAGTTTAAACAACAGCCTCTTACTCGTTTCCAGACCCGTACAATCGCGTACATGTCACGCACTCACTCGTTTCCTGGCCCGTACAATCACACACACATCAACCACTCACCCGTTTCCGCGTGCCTTCATCCAGCATCACCGCCACCACATCTGCTGCCACCTTGCGTTGCCTCAGCGACCCTCTCCTCTCCGCCGCTGCTGCCACTGCCGTCGCGCCTTTAGAGCCGCCCTTGAATGAGTCCATTGCGCCTGGTGCCAGCCCAGGGGAAGGGGGGTGGAAGGGGGGTGGAAGGGGGAGTGGGGAACGGAGAGGAAGGAGAGGAGGAGGGAGGGGGAAGTGTGCAGGCCTTGCGTTGCCTCAGCGACCCTGTCCTCTCTGCCGCTGCTGCCACTACCATGGCCCCTTTGAATGATTCCATTGCAACTGGCGGAGAGGAAGGGAGAGGAAGGAAGGCGGGAGAGGCAGAGCGGGAGAGGCAGGGCAGGGCGGAGCGGGGAGAGTTAGCCTCAGTCAGCAGCCTTTTCCTCTCCTCTCCGCCGCTGCTGCCACTGCCTTGGCACCTTTGGAGGCATCTTTGAGCAAGTCCATTACGCCTGCCCAAGGGGATCGGAAATGGGCGGGTGGAGGAGGGGTGGGGAAAGAGGGGGAAGGGGGACCGGGGGACAGGGGGACAGGGGGACAGGGGGACAGGGGGACAGGGGGACAGGGGGACAGGGGGACAGGGGGACAGGGGGACAGGGGACAGGGGGACAGGGGGACAGGGAGACAGGGGGACAGGGGGACAGGGGGACAGGGAGACAGGGAGACAGGGGGACAGGGAGACAGTGAGCCTCCTCTCCTCTCCTCTCCTCTCCTCTCCTCTCCTCTCCTCTCCTCTCTTCTCCTCTCCGCCGCTGCTGCCACTGCCAATGCGCCTTTGGAGCTGCCCTGGAACGAATCCATTGCGCCTGAGGGGGAGAGAGGAGGAAAGGGGGTGATGGGGAGGAGGGAGGAGGTAGAATGTGAGACGAGATGATACACGTAAGTGCAAGCTCGGCGGAATGCCAGGGGGAAAGGGGGAGGGGGAGGGGGTGGGAGGAGGGAGGGAGGGGAGGAGCGGGGAAAGAAAGGATCAATCGGCGTATTGGGAAGAAAGGGGAGAACGCATGAGGGTAAGAAGAAAGGTCGGCGGGGAGGATAGGGGGGAAGAGCAGGAGAGGCGGAGCTGTGGCTGGGATGGGAACGACATGCAGGGCTGGTGAGCGGTTGGGAACAGTGGGGTACGGTGTGGGTTGTAGGGTGGGAAACGGTTGGGAACAGCGAATGTTGAAGAAGCCCAAGCTGGCTTTAAGTTGATCCGGGAGAAACGCGACTACGAGCGATCGAGCCGTAGTATGATGTATCCTACCGGCTCGCTCGTAGCTCGATCGTGGCGGAACGGCAGGAATGTTGCGAGACAGCGACAGGGTAGCGGATAGGCGGGTAACTACGTAGATTGAAATGGGTATTGGAGGTTTTGAAGAGAACGACATCCTACAAATGCGGCGCGACGAGGGGAGATGGGGTGCGACGAGGGGAGGCATCAGAAAGTTCTGTCGCCTGGTTGGGGGTGTTTTGGAAGACATCAGGTAGTTGGGGTTGGGTTCTGGCGAGATTTCGAACAGACCATTCACGTGTGATGGGTTAGGCCGATTGGCACCCACGATCGACCACCCTCGAGATGGGTTTCGTATAATTGGATTCAGTCTGAACAGTGAGGGCTGTTAATGCCCAGTCATCGAAGGACCGAGCTGGATTGCAACACACGGGGGGTACAATGTGCGGCTGTGTGTGCTCGATACACAGGGCATCCTGCGGATGGCCATTTGTCATCCAGCTCGGCGATGACCTGACCCGAGCATTTACGAGGCTGATGTGGCATAGTGCCTGCGGTTACATTTCGATTTGTTGCTCTGTTACTGGAATTCGCGATCGATTTTCGAGTGCTTGAATTGAAGTTACAATAGCACTGTTACCAACCTGGTTACAGAACCTTGTGCTGTAATAACGAGTCGCATATTATCTAGCCGCAAATAAACAAGATAACTACTGTAGTCTCGCATATGATGTTAATTTATTGTTGTTGTCGCCAATCAAAATACCCCTTTTAATTAAAGCATAATGTTATTAAAACATTTTAGCAGCTGTTAAAATTACGATAAAACCATAACCTCACTACTAACAGCACCAGTTACAAGATTACAATTCCAATTAGCAGAAGCTACACCTACCTATTGCACCGGAGTACAGTAGCACCAGCTACATCAGGGTTATACTACTGTAACTACACCTAACTAGGACTCCTAAGGCGGGGTTCCATTAGGGAAGATCACCGACTCATAGCCCTTCACCAGGATCTTGATCCTAGGGCCCATGTTGAAGCCAGCCGGGGGCCTGGAGTCCCAGATAGTCACATCCCCGGCGTTGTAGGTTGCCGCGATCCAGGCAACAACCTGGTCAATCTTCTGCGCCACATTCTAGCGGTTCACTACCTCGGCAGTGTCAAGTGCCGGGGTCTGGCGCCCCCTTGCATTCACCAGGGGCCACTCCACCTACAGATCCAAGAGGTAGCGTAGGTTTAGTGATGGTTTTTTTTGGAACAAACAGATACAACATAATAGAAACACCAGGCACTCACCACATTGCATACGTAGCCAACAGTGGGGATCTTCACAAACAGCGTGGTTGCACGCTTGCTGGCAAGCCCACGAAGGAGAGCTTGCATACGGGCGATGGGTTGCCGGGTCGAAATGCCAATTTGCTCCAGGCCCATAGACAGCTGTCAGAATAGAGGAAAAGAGAGTGAGCAACCAGCTACAATTATACCAATGGAACACATAGCCGCAGCAAAACGGGGCAACGTGTAACTCACGGTGTTAAAAAAAACGGCACCACTCCGCAGGGGTACGCGAGGTGGACGGTGCAACATTCTCCTCCGCCAGAATTTTCCACTTAGACTCCGAAACGCACCCCCCAGGGCCTCTGCCGTAGAGCTTCGCGTCAGAGTTGACGTTTGAACGCTTCTCCGACACCTTCCGCATCGCCAGCGCCTCTTTGCTGAGGTCGTTGCTGATGACGTAGTAGAAAACGCTGGATGAAACGCCCGCGGCCTCGTACTTCATGCAGACAACTTCGCGGAACTCTGCCCACTCGGGGTAAATCTGCGTAGACCGAGCTGGCGCATCCAACATAAGGTACGTGATCGCCTCAGTTGCCTTTCTCTGCATATAAACGGGAGTGTAAACGAGACAAACGTTAGAAGATGGAGATACGCATTAAGCACAAAGAAATGCAACTCGCGAAATAAGCGAATACTGAGATGAGAGACTTACCCCGAAATGATTGTCATGACTGACGACGGCAGGGATAATGAGTGCTCCGTTGGCGTCGCGCGGGATCCGGTCCAAATTGAACGACGGCGTGGCCAGACGCGGGGTACCGATGAGAGCCGTACCCTGGGTGGCGGACAGGTCCTGCAGGAGCTGCTCGTTCAACCGGATAGCCTCACCGCAGCGCTGGTTGAGCGCAGCAAGCTCGGCGTCCCGCTCCGCGAGGAGGTTCGACAACTCTCTCTCTCTCTCTCTCCTGCGTGCGCCTCAGCGTTGTTCGAAGGTCGTCGAGCTGTCCCTGCAGACGGAATGTCTCTTGTGCTACTGCTTGCTCGGCCGGCACATCTGCCAAAGGGAACGAAAACAAGCAGGAAACAAATGTCAGTAACAAATAAAGTAACGGCAAACGCAAACACAATGCACGCCGTGAGAGAGCCGCGATCGATACACAAGAAGCGAACTTGATTAACTCGTACTGGTGCGTGGGTTCACTGGGATGGCAAATCCAAACGGTGAGCCAACCACTCGGCCAGCAGTCGTTCCGCGTGTTGCGTTATCAGCAGCTGAGGCGGTGACGGCGGACGCGTCAGCATTTGCAGTAGTCTCTTCCACTGCGGGTGCAACCGTTGGAACTGAGACGGCCACATGGTTGGTCACGGCAGAGGCTTCCGTACTCGCGGGGCCAGCAGGTGTCGCAACGGCACTCGTTGCAACGCCAGCAGTACCGGCACCTGCTGTGATCGGCGCGGGAACGGTTGGAGCGGCAGGAGCGATTACGACGGTAGGTGCTACGGCGGTCATAGTAGCAGGCGTAGGTTGCGCCGCGGTAGCAGGAGCGACTTCATTGACAGGTGAGCTAGAAGGTCCAGCAGTGTCGTCGCCCTGCGCACGAGCCCCCTTCTTCTTCTTCTTCTTCTTCTTCTTGCCGAGCTTCACCCCTTGTTGTTTCAGATGCTGCATGTACCCGAGCATTTCGTCCAGGTTCACCTCGTCATCGCTGTCACTATCCTCGGCAGGCCCATCACGATGCAGTGTGACCCCCTGGTCATCGTCGTCCGTCATGGCAGCGAAAACCCGCTTGAGGAGCTTGAATCCGGTCATGTGTCTCAGTGTGCGAGGATGAGCTCTGTCGCACATGAGTTGGTTTCCGATCGTTTATGGCGGGAGAATGCCAGCATGGCGATGCGCGACTGCCAGCTGTGCTGCATTTACGGTCAAAAAGGTTTCGTGCGACAATCGTGAAATGTGTGCGATAGCCGAGCTGGAAATGCCCATATCAATGTTGGGCACCTCGCGGGCAGTTGATATTATCTTACAACTCAGTGGTAACACTATACACGACACAATGTATGCACGCAACACTGTTTCGACGAGCTCTCGCAATTATACTCTCATGGGCAGGGTCACAGAAAAACTCGCACAAGTGTGGGTGGCGCATAACTGTACATGATGCCTTGCCAAGCGCATCCCAGCGCGCCGCTGCCAGCGCACGTTCCTTCAGTTAGCGACGGAAACCCAACCAGCCGATGCCAGCGCACAATGCAGGTGGGCGGCATGATACTCGCTGTCGAGGACGTTATTCACGGGGAGTTGTAAGTATACAATCGAGACAAAAACACTGTTGTAGCACTTTTAGGGACAACGAACAATTATGCATTCTTTGAATATTAAAAAATAAACCTATTAACAAACCATAATTGGTCGTTCGGAACCGGCTGTACCAGGTCAACAGCCCGCAGTAGACTATCTACGCTAATCACCTGGTATTGTTGGTGTTGTAAGTCCCAACGCAGCTGCGCGCATCCAGTGGCGGCGTCTTTGTCTGGTAGCTTGGGATAATATTTAACGTATGCGTATGGCTTCAGCTCTGCGCCGTCTCTCAGCTGGAAAATAATCAGAGTTTTTGCATACCACTCCTCGTGAACACCATCGACCAACGGTCCTTTGGCAGCAATGTCGGAGTACCATGGTCGTCCATAGAAGTTCGCGACAGCTCGCACCCGGTGAGGCAGTCGTCCAAATTCAGCATCCAGCGCAGAGGGCATAGCGAGCTCGTTGTGGACATGCAGGTGAAGGGAAAGTTTATTTGGGAAAAGAGTTAATGTTTTTTTAGTTTAGTCATTCCCATTTATTTTCATTACTGTATACGCGTCATACCCGCGTCTACAGTAAGGCGCTGGATCACCACAGTGCAACTACATGCTTCGAAACAAATGTGCCCGAACCGAATCAGAAAGAAACGAAAACTGTTCCTACTTGCTCGAAACCAGTTGACAAAAACGATCGCTTCACCCACCTGGATGACGTGGACATTGCTCCCGTTGCATCCAGGTGCAACATCGAGGGCGCGTCGCAGCTGCTGCAGGTCGCCACCCAGCTGCCTGTTGAAGGCGGCGTCGCGCACAGCGTCTGGCGCGACAGGCTCCACAAAGGGTGGAGTCTGACGCCTCGGCAGGACCACCAGCTTCCAGCTGGATCGCGATACTATCCGCGTTCCAGTTGAGATGGCCTGTAATATGTGTTAAAACGAAGCAAGTGAAGTTAGGAACACAATGATGTGGAAAAATAATTTGAACTAGGGCATGAGGGAATGATACCAAGTACTCATGATATGGACTTACGCTTTGCATTGCAGTGTCGTACCGCTTCCGCTTCCCAAGCTGCGGTGCAAGCACTTGCAACCGAAGCTTGTTGACCTCAGCGTTCATAACTTGCGCAGTGGCGGTGCGCTTGTTTGACGCTCGATAGGGGTTCTTCACATATTCTATGTGAAGATGCTCAAATAATTGAGCGCACCAATGCTCCGGAAGTCCAGCCCGACGGATAGCGTCGATGTAGTGGCTAACCAGATGCATCTTGATAATGTTCCACTTCGACTTTTGCGCAAACGCCTCGAGGCGTCGAAGCATCCTGTATAATGAAACAAAAGAAAGGAATTGGTCGATTAAATGCATGCAAGTTTGGGATTAGTTGACTAACGTTGCAATGAGAAACATACCTGCTCGCCAAAAGCTTCAACTCGCGAAAACTTTCCACAGTATGCTCGGTTGCGTGCGCACAGAAGGTGTACCACTCAATGTATGTGATGATCCCTGCAATCTGCTCGTCACTTGCATATCCCTTAACAATGAAAGGAAGAATCTGCATGACTCTGCGATGCTCGTATGCCTGGTACGACGCACCATTGCTAAAGTATGAACCCGAAGGGAGCCTCAAGTGCGGGTTTCGATTGATAGCCTTATAAAATTTCAAGCGCTTATCCAACGCTTCCCTTTCCGTGTCCGTGCACTGAGCTCGAATGGCATCAATGATATACTCTAGGATGCCCAAATCCGCCTGGTGCATAATGTCGGGCATAAGGCAGAGATACGGGTTTAGAAGGACATGAGACTCAAAACGCCACCCCCATAGGAAACTCTTAACTGGGTGCGTTGAGAGCTCCATGTTTTCACCCGTAGGTAACATACGTCGTTGCAAGAGTGCAACGATACTCTTTTGCATTACCGGCAGACGTGGTTTTGGTTGATCGATCAAATCCTTCATGTTGTCCTTGTAAACGGTGCAAATGGAACAAGGGTGGCTTGTGTTCCACCCTTGTTTGGTGCACGACACCTTACATGTCTCGGGATAGTCGGCTACATATGCATAAAGGGCGGGCCACGCATTGTATGAGGCACCGGCTCTTCCACATCAGGAACACCATGGTGGGAAGCCTTTATTAAGGGCTCCAACACGGTACGCATGACATGTTGGAAAATAAAAAGCTTGTCGTCGGAGTTGTATTCGGATGGATATTCGGGTAAAAGAGCGAGTAAAACATGACCAAATGGTTTCCATCGATCATCTTTATCAATGTTGGCCAAGGTAAGATATACCGGATGGCCCTTGGCTTTTCCTCGATGGTCCAAATGCGTCTCATCACTTGCCAAGATGAGCGCACACACCACCCCGTTGGGGTCCTCTTTTCTTATCTCCTCATGGAGAGCTTTCCACCAATCACCCGTCTCGGGAGTAGAATACACGTGTGTTGCATCCGACTCACGGGGAGTGGGATGCAAGAAAAGTTTAGGAGCCACCTTAGGGTGAGTCAAGAGATCCTTGATGCATTGAATGCCATCACAAAAGAAATACTCAAGCATAGGCTTACCCGCGAGATGCGCATCGGGTGTGTGTTCGTCCACATACTTCTCAACGTCTCTCATGTTGCGGAGCTCGCGCAATTGAGCGAGACACGCATCGTGGTGGTTAAAAATCTGTAGCAACTCATCAACCTTCTTCTTAGAAACGCCACAAGTGAGCAACCAATGCACAAATGCATCCAAAAATACAAACGGCGGACTCTCATCACCATCATTTGTGCTGTCCTCAGCCTCGCCATTCGTATGGGCAGAGGTGGCGTCATCGGGCAACACATCCGGTGTTGACTCAACACTGTTTGAGGGAGTGGGGGCTGGATGGAATGAGTCGGGCACCATGTTGTCATGACTCGATCCCTCATTGCCTCCTAGAGGCTCCGGATCTACCGCGGCACGTGGAGGTGTGGGCATGGAGAGAGTGGGAGAGGGAATGGAGGGGGTGGGAGAGGGGATAGAGAGGGTGGGGGATGGCATAGATGCGGCATTGTGCCGTGTCATGAGGAAAGAGTTGCCACTGTTTGCCGCAGCCGCATGACGTGTATTCCCGGGGCAGCGCCCGCCATTCCGATGGTTGGTTACGTTCCCTCGTGTTGTGAAGCCCGTGGCAGGACAATCGGGACAACTGTACACCATTGCCCTGAAGTGTTCACACAAGAAAGAGAGGGAGGGAATGGTAGGGAGAGGGAAAGGCGGCAGAGGGGCAGAGAGATGAGAGGAATGGCAGGGAGCTGGAAAGGCGGCAGAGGGGCAGAGAGATGAGAGGAATGGCGGGGAGAGGGAAAGGCGGCAGAGAGGCAGAGAGATGAGAGGAATGGCGGGGAGAGGGAAAGGCGGCAGAGAGAGAAGGAAACAGGGGCAGGGATATGGAAGGTAAGGCAGGGAGAGAGAATTACAGCAGAGAGAAGGGGAAACAGTAACGGCTGGGAGAGAGAGAGTGACGGGAGAGAGTGTAAGGACAGGGAGAGAGAATGACGGGAGAGAGAGTCACGGCAGGGAGAGAGAATGACGGGAGAGAGAGACATGGCAGGGAGAGAGAGTCACGGCAGGGAGAGAGAATGACGGGAGAGAGATACATGGCAGGGAGAGAGAATGACGGGAGAGAGAGGCGCGGCAGGGAGACAGAACGACGGGAGAATGAGCGGATGCGTTGAGCAAGGGATGCTCATCGTGGCGCTCATCAACGCCATGCATTCGCCTGGTTTTGAATCAGGCGGATGCTCGGCGGGCATTTACTCAGTGCATGCGCGCGGCTAAAAGTAGGGGATGCGCGGAAAATCGGTGCTCTAACGCATGCACGGCGTGAATGAGGAGTGCGGAGTTGGAAAAAGGGACGGAGAGTGAGATAGAGATTGCGGGGCAGAGAGGAGGAATGAAGTGTAGGGACGATATGATGTGCGGCAGTGAGAAGTGACGGAAGTAGAGAGATGTGCCCCAAGAATCACGTGCACGACGCGCAGCGCATAGGTGCCGTGCATCCGCTCTGCGTGATGAGGGTCATGCGACGAGCATCATGCTCACGGCGCGCATCGCTTGTGCGCCGTGAATCCGCTCGGCGCACGCCGTGCAATGCGCCGAGCATCAAGCTCACGGCGCGCATCGCTTGTGCGCCGTGAATCCGCTCGACGCAAGCAGTGCGATGCGCCGAGCATCAAGCTCACGGCGCGCATCGCTTGTGCGCCGTGAATCCGCGCTGCGCAAGCCGTGCAATGCGCCGAGCATCAAGCTCACGGCGCGCGTCGCTTGTGCGCCGTGAATCCGCTCGGGGCAAGCAGTGCGATGCGCCGAGCATCAAGCTCACGGCGCGCATCGCTTGTGCGCCGTGAATCCGCGCGGCGCAAGCCGTGCAATGCGCCGAGCATCAAGCTCACGGCGCGCGTCACTTGTGCGCCGTGAATCCGCTCGGCGCAAGCAGTGCGATGCGCCGAG